GAAATTCCAGTATGCTCGGAGGGAACCGATTCCCCCCAAGGGGATACCGATTCCCTCACTATTCATCAGCCCAATGGTCATAATATTTGAATATTATGAAGGGGGTATCGATTCCCTATGAAGGGGTACCGATTCCCCCCATTCTAGGCAGCCTATTTTTGCAGAAAAATCATTCCCAGACGGCTCCAAAACATTCCCAATGGCTAGATATGACTTCAAACACATTCCAAGCTATAAATACAAGCTAAGTACACTTGAAGAAGAAAGAGAACAACTATCCAAGCAATTAAACACAATAGAAGAGTTTTTCATTCTTATTTCATCTTTCTCTTGTAAATATTTTGTTCTTGTGAGCTCAATCTTGTAAACACCTACCTTAGAGAGGTTTTCTTGTTTACATCTTTTATCCTATTGTAAAGGGGAAAGGTTATAGCTTATCCCGTGTAAAAGCTAGGGAAATGTTATAGTTTAGCCCGGAAAAACTAGGGAGATGTAAGGTTATCTCTTTGTCCTCAAAAGAAAGAACAAATTAGTGAATTTGTTGGAAAATCCTTGGTGAGGAGCTAAGGTAATGGATGTAGACTTTGGTTGAGAAAGTCGAACCACTCTAAATCGCTGTGCAATTTTCTATATTTCAATCTCCTTACTCCCTAAACACAAAACCGTTCCGACCCCTCTTTACAAACCGTTCCGGTTGTCGATTCGAGCTTCCAAAAATCCCAACAACATGAATACATGAACATATGAAACATAAGAATAATGCCCATGGTATACGATATGAGAGCTATAGGTATAGTTGGTATGCCAAGAGTCGAGGGTTCTACGTGGTCCTTCGGGACATATATGTATCCTTTGGAACATTTACAGGGTCTTTTGAGACAGATTTGATCCACTGGAATATGCATATGGTTCTTAAGGAGTGGTCCTTCAGGACAAATATAGTATATAGGTCATTCGGGACAAATTTCATAGCCCCTAGTGGGACCCATACGAGCTGTGGTGACAGTATATTGCACAACCTCAATGTACTCGAATACCTTGAGTTCTCAAAAAGGTTATCAAAGGTAATTATATTGTTATAGTTATATGTTACCATATTATTATTGTTTACATTGAATTGTATACGACATGATTGAATGGATAGATTGTATGTTCATATTCATACGGAATGCATTATTATTATATTTATATGTCTCACTAAATCTATGACTTAGCGTGTAAGTGATTTACACGTAGGTACCAAAAATCAGGAAGAGCGGAAATAGGGTGGCAAGAACAACAGCACTGCTAGAAGATCAGATCAGAAATAACGAATAAAGTATGTCTTTTGTCGTGTATAGTGTTGGCATGTAAGAAAAGTTTTTGTTACAAATGCTCTGATTAGTTTTGTCTTGTTTTGGTTAACTTGTGTAAAGTAACAATGTTATTTTAATGAAAGTTTTAAATTTCCTTGATTTCAGTCAAGAGTCAAAGTTTGAAAAGTCAATGTGACACCTCGGACTCGTATCCGGGTCGGGTACGGGTTGAGGGTGCTACACTCACTATGTTCCAATCCATTTTTATGATTTTCTTTCTTTCGATCGAATCTTGACTTGATAATCGTTTCAGAACTTGTTCGTGCTCGATATCTATATAATCATACATTGATACATATCAGTATCCAATCGATATATTCTAATCTATAATTTCTTAGACCAAAAGAAATGTCTATTTCAATTTCCTCTTGAAGTGCATCGATACATTCTACAGTGCATCAATGCATTCTTTAACATGTGCATCGATGCACTACCCATGCATCGATACACCAATCATCTTCGATGTTTTCATTTTAAGGGGGTGCATCGATGCACTCCTTATGCATCGATGCACTAATTACATTCGATGTTTCTTCTTTAAAGAGTGCATCGATACACATTGAATGTGCATAGATACACCTTGCCCAGAATTTGTATTTTAAGCCCGAAAACCATCAACTTTTCACTCAATTCTTCTATTTTAAGCCCATATCATGTCATTAAACTCAATTACCATTACTTAAACCAACTTATATCCATATAATCCGTCTTTATCTTTCATATCTCATCATGATTCTTAAAATTTAAGAATCTTGCTAAACTTTCAACTTTGTTATTAATCCTTTCTAACTTCATAAATATCTTATTCTTATTGATGACAAGTCAAATTTAACTTTCAATTCTTATTATAAACTCTATTTCATTATTTCACTCAGGAACTCCAAAACTTTAATCTTCCCTAACTCCTTTATCTTTTGATTTTAAGATAACTTAAGCTTTCCTTAAGCTTAGTTATCATATACTGATCATAACCCAACCTTAAATTTATCCAAAAATTATCTAAATAGAAGACTCACCTTTGATTCAAGCCTTCATGTATGAAGAAGGAAGAAGAGAAGAGAAGAGAACTCTGGAACATTTTCTCTCTTTCAACGTGGTTTCCTTATCTTATAAGGAAAATAAAAATCTTCCTTATCAAATGACCCTTTTGCCCTTTAATTCATCTAATAATTACTAAAAAAAACTTATGATTTATTTTCCAAATAAATCATTGAACTAATCCATGGTTCTACTCTAGTCACCAAATTCTGAAACTTTACAATTTGATCACTAACCCGGTATTGAGGATGTTACACAATACCTTACTCGGGTTTAATACTGAGTAGCGATACTCTAGTATCTCTTACTACGCTTTCTCTTAATTCACCCTCGAATTGGAGGAACAATTGTATGTTCACCATTTGCTGACATTCTTGCAGTACGCAACTCTGCTATTTCACAATCTGATTAATTTGTCATACTGCTTGTTAGTACATCCTCTGCAACAATCCTTTATTCTTAGATACTTGTTAATTGTTCAACTGACGATACTTGAACGTATTATGCCTACTATGGTTACCTTGGTTGTAACCCACTCTTACGAGTGGTTTCAGGTTATTTTGGCCATTTACGTCCCTTACGGACTAAGTTCTACCATTAAGGGTCATTCTTAGCTCTTACGGGCCTTAAAGAGGTCAAATCTAACAATTCAAAGTGAGTAGTATTGATACTTTACTTGTAGTATCGATACCCTAGGGTCAAGTACCGATACCCCTATGAGTATCAGTACAAAAAATAGCTTATATTGCTGAAAATTAGGCCCAATATTGATATTGTTATCCCGAGCATCTATACTGTAGGGGTAGTATTGATACTACCAGTTAGAAATCCTCAAATTTCATTACAATTCAATCAATATCGATAATGTTCATCCAATATCGATACTCAAACCTAAAAATATCTTATTTAAGCTCCATAAACACTAAAAAAATCATCCTAAAGGTCTTAGTTTGGTTCCTAATCATAAGCTAAAGCTTTAGGAAGTTACTTAGTATCTTAAAGTGGCATAAAAGCACATTCTTTACATCTACAATGTCATTTAATCATGAAATTAAATATAAACCATAAAATGCTCAAATGCAAATATCTTAGCAATTCTTCATATTTATGAAAAGTCTTAACACTTTAAAGGATTAGAAATAAACTACCTTGGTTAAAGAATTCCGAAATGAAGCTCATTTAGCTAGCATCACCCTCCACACTTGGATGAAAAAACCCTCACTTTTCTTGCAGACAAAGAACCTAAGGATATGAATCATTAAAACAATGTTGCTGGAGGGATGAGTAATGAAATTGAAGTATGAAAGGGGCTCGAGAACTTACCTTTGTGCTATGGAACTTGGAGAGGAAGAATGAAAAGAAAAATGATAAGGAATGAAGAAATAAAGAGAAGAAGGAGATGAAAGAGATAAAAAAACTTTCATATTTTTTAAAAGGTGAAATTACCCATTGACCATTCCTCATCTTTTGACTATTCAAAAATCTCATTTTTATGGCTAATTGGGCACAATTCCAACCCAATGACTTAAATTATGAAATCTACGAGGTCCACATGCCTATCGGGTAAACTCGAAACTACTAGCCCAGAGTTTGAAGTGTTACAACACATCCCCTTAAATTTTATAAGTTTATCCTCTAACATTAAATTATGCGTCCATCCCTTGTGGTTGTGTAATTTTCTCTTTAAACTTGGTGCAAGACTTCGGTCGCATTATTGAGAAGGGCAGTACACCATGATTATATATTAGCATTTTCTTTTAAAAAATAATTTATTGAATTGTTATAAAATAGTTGTGTGATATTATAATTAATTGTTAAAATTTGATAAATATAATAATTATTTTATACTAGTTCGAAAAATAATGATCATTTTATAACTTTTAAAAGTTTAATAGCTAAAGTGATTATTTTGAACATAGTTTGGTGACTTTTGACGAATTTTATCTTATTTTTTCATGATTTTAAAAATACCAAAAAGAGATTGGAAATTTTGTGGGTCTTTGTAAGGGTTGGCTAGTTGCTTCTTCTCTAAATCAAAAAAGGAAATTATTAATAAAGTATTATTGTATAAATGGACAAAATGTACTGACTTGTAATTTCTAAGACGAAGGCAATTGGTGATAAACAATTAAGCATATTTTCTCGATATTATATTTATTTGGCCATGAAAATTAGTTATTTGGCGAAAGTTGATGGATTGTATAATCGTTACAAGAGTGTAAGACATATGTTTAAAGATTGAATTAAAATTAATCTAACTAATAACCTCTAATAATTAAAACATTATAAATCCATATTTACAATTTTATTTTTATAAATATAATGATCAAAATTGAACACTTATGAGACTAAAGTGCCATTTCAGGAGTTTGTCCAAGATTTTATTGTAGAAAACAATTCGTTGAACCTTGGCAGAACACGACAAAGAAATATTGAATGAATGTTTGAAACCAAGCTTGAAAAGCAACGATGGGAACTACTGTTTCGAAGTGGCTGAAGCGACTCTGGTGGCGGTGGTGCTGACGGTTGCAGAGGAGGAGAGCTAATGGTGGTGACCGGTGAGTAACTGAACTTGAAAAGTTCATTCCTCCTCCTGCTCCCCCTTCTCCTTCTTTTAAATGGGGCTTTCAGAAGATATGTAAACAATGTTATCCAAACTGATGTTTGCTTTTTGGGTTTATTATAAAAAAACAAAAAGATCCAAAACTGAAAAAAAGTGAGCGTTTTCTCTTTTGAAACAGAGGGGCAACGTTTTCTATTCATTTTGTCTGGAAGGAGAGGAGAAGGGAGACATGCACAAAATTCAAGCTTAGTAAGATAGAACACTGCTCACTAGTGTTGTTTCTCTTCCATTTTATCAAAATCCTAAAGGTATATCACTTTTCTTCCTCTCCCTTTGTTTTTTTTAACTTCGTTTTTGTTCTTCTGGGATTCTTTTACTCTTTTTTGTATGCGTTTTATGTATTACTTCTTATCTATGTATGTATCTTTCTATGCATGCTTAGAATGATTTTGCTGTGCCTATAAGGTTATAAGGCTTTGAAATTGGTTGGATTTTGAGCATGGGATGGTGGCTTGGAATCCATAGCTGATTGATGGGTTTTTATTTTTTTTAATTTTGGTTCAACTTTGAGCTCTTTATTGGGAATTTTAGTTGTGGGATTTGCATGCATGGAAAAGCTTTGACTTGGTGATTTTTGTTGAGCTTAGTTGAGCAAGAATCCATTTTACTTTCTCTGCCTTTATGTTATTGGGAGTAAATTATTGGTAATATTTGGTATTTTTGTATCAAACAATTCCTTTACTGGTTTTCAATAGTCTCCTCAGTCATCATCCTTCTCCCACCACCCTTTAGCTTAACTGAGTATATATGCTAATGATTTAAAGTTGCTGCATTGAGATGTTTGAAAATGGAATGGTTTCCTTCATCTCTTACTCTTCATTTTAAAATGATCATTGTCCGATTTATTTGGCAATAACGGAAAGGCATTACTACTTACTAATAATACACGTAGCTCTCGCTAAAGTGTATATTTGTATGGATATCAATATGTCACACACTTCTTTGTTTGTTACTACTCGGTGATTTGAATCTAAAATCTTAATAGAAAATGGCTCAAAAGCTGATAATAGGAATTATATTACATCCCTCCAATTTTTGATTGAAAATTTGAAGGGTTTTTTTTTGTTAATAATCTTCTAAAAATCTAATTCATAGTAGATATTAGTTTGATATCAGAATTCTTTTTCTTTAGAAAAATCCGAAATGAATTGAAAATGAACAAAAGTATTTTTTATTGTAGTTTTTGTAGAGTAGTTTCCATGCTCGGTGAGGCCTTATCACCTCAAAACAAGATTTGTTCTAAACTTATTGTTTAATTAGTCAATTATCAGATGATGAACTACAATGAGGTGTGTGTAACTTATGCAGATAGTTCCCCCCTTCGGGCCGGAAGTAAGTGTCTTTTGTATATTTCTTATGGCTCTAACGGTCTACGAATGTGCACTAGAGTCCTAGTGAGCTTTCTTTACTCACCAATAAATATTTTGTCTAAATTTGGTTGGACACCGTGGTTGCTTTAAATGTTAAACTGGTTTCCATACTTGTTAATCTTATCTGTTGAAGTTGAATAACGGTTTCGTAAATTTTCGTATATCACGTGAAAGAAGCGTTATGTTCATTTACTTATTTCTTTTTTTTTAATTTAAATATCTAGCAAGCACTGTGATAATTTGTGGTTTGATGCTAGGTCACTAGTGTATGTGCTGACTAACAAATAGCGGCAGAGATTTTCTTTCAACATTTTCAAAGCTCCTTTCGAGCTTACTCTTAAGTCAAGATATTTTGGAACAGTAGTCTACAACAATGCAAAACAAAAGGGATTCTGTTGTCAGTTCTCATTCGACATGCACCTATGTTGTTGGCGGCTCATCTTGGGAGAACTCAACCGGATCTCATATCCAGCAATCAAACATGTCTGAAAGTTTGAGCCCGAAGATGGGAGTTCTGCCTCAGTACTTAAATAACGCCAAGCAGCTGAGTTTTCAGTTCCAAGACCAGGATTCATCGTCAACTCAATCAACTTGTCAATCTTATCTTGAAGTAGCTAGTGCTGGTGATAGCACTCTTCATGAGCAAAGTTTAATTTCAGCATCATCAGGTCTCGATATTTGTGATTTTTCTCTCTCAATATATTTTGGATTCTTTTTTCTTATATTTTATCAAGTGTCAAGGATTTTATTATTTTATCATGAACGTGTTATGTTTTTAAGTCATGTTCATGCTCTGATGGACTGACTTCTCTTATATTCTGACCAGGTGGTAATGAAGTGCACGGGGAGCTTGTTGGAGGTCATGCTAAGTTAGTCTCCTCAATGGTAACTCAGTCATATGGGCCCGATCCTTCACAAGTTGAATTTAACAAATCAATCGTAAGTTATTAGTTGAACTACTTGTGTGGTTTGGTTGCTATGTATTCTAGATTGCATCATAGTCTTGGATTTCAATTTTTGTGCTGCAGGCTCAGATTCCCCACCCTTATGCTGATCCGTATTTGAGCGGAGTGGTAGCTTCTCCGTATGCACAGCAAACTATGGTAAGAACATTTTGAGTTCATTACTTTCCTATGCTGAATTTATGTCTGTTTGATGGTGAGCACTCCACTCAGGTATCGCACCGGTTCATTGAAAAGGGGCTAGTTGCATTTATGTCAATTATACCTTTGTTTTGAGTGACCAGACAAAAATGCCTTCTTTGTTATCCATTTTTGAGGTATTTTTCATTATATTGCCGGCAGATTCAACCTCATACGATGGCTATGCTCCCTACTCGTGTTCCATTGCCTCTAGAGCTTACACAAGATGAACCAGTCTATGTTAATGCAAAGCAATATCAGGCTATTCTGAGGCGAAGACAGTTTCGTGCGAAACTCGAGGCTCAGAAAAAACTCATCAAAGTTCGGAAGGTATGTTGCTTCTAGTTTTTTACTTCTTGCCGCATGTCAATTGCAACTTCACCTATGATGATAGTCTGGTTATTTGGCTAATGAAGATATATAACCTGAGAAGTTCTTTCATGAATGTTTGCAGCCGTATCTGCATGAGTCTCGACATCTTCATGCTTTAAAACGAGCTAGAGGAAGCGGTGGGCGTTTTCTCAACACAAAGAAGCTCCAGGAATCGAACAGTATGCCTACAAGAAATGGACAAGACATGCACATCTCCAACTCCGGAGTTCATCAGCTGGAAAACTACAAAGATGCTGCTTTGACCACCTCTTGTTCCAATGTCATGACTGCCTCCAACAATGGTGAAATGTTCCAGCATCCGGATTTCAGGTTCTCCGGCTATCCTTCTCACAGTGCTGGACCCATACCCGGTCATGCCGGTGATATGCAAGGTGGTGGGAATTTCCATCATCGTCTCTGAAGATAGAAGAGTTAACTGATTCTCATCAGAGCAGTCTTGCATTTGGTGCCTCAGTGCAGAAATAAAAGTGGCGGCTTTACCCCCTTGGGAAGTCATCCTTGGCTCTATTTACTTTGCTCTTCTAGTTTACTGTTTAAACCATGGACGTGGATCGGTTGTCTTGCTGATAAACTCATAACTTGCTGTGTTGTTTTCCGTTTATGTTCCGAAGAAACTTGGTGAATTGGTGACTGGTGTTGTCATTTAAAACATAAGATAAAAGATGCATGGCTTGACAATTAGATCATGCCTTTTCAATTCCAAGATATGCTATTTTTGCAATTATGCATGCATGCTGATGAAATGAGAAAGCCGAAATAGGCATGAATTGAACATTTAGTTTCTCACATGGCATTGGCATGCTCTTATAGTTACTGATCTAACATTTTGTTTCGTTTTAAATTGTAAAGGAATAGGAAAAACATTCAAGTAGGAAGGAATCTCCAGGAAAATGCTTCCTTTTGCCTTATATATTGTTTACCTCCTTTAAACGTCCTCTGCATGTCATTTTCGCATAGCACATGTATCCTAAGTCTCGGAGAAAGAACCTCTCCATAGGTAGGATCCTTGAAAAGCACCTCCGAAGAAAGATTTTCGAACATTTAACATCTCTCAAAAAGTTGCAATTTGTTGATATGATTTTTAACATGTCCACGCGACTCACCAAATCAAAAAGTCGCAATTTGTTGATATGATCTTTAACATGTCCACGCGACTTACCAAATTAAATTTATCACCACCTAACTTACTAACCTACAAATAGTCATATTGACCTTATGTATCATTATAAAATCTCTCCGTTAAAACCGAGAGAAAGAGTAAAACCATCTCACCCTCATTTATCTCTCTTCTATTTTCATGCCATTCAACCCAAACCAATCAATCTATCTTTTCACCCAAACCAAAGATGAATCACTTATATTTGTCCTGTCAAAATTATATCATATTATTTTTTCTTTTAATAAGAATGAGGCCGTAGCCAGTGTCAGGGTTTTAAATTGAGGTCGTAGTCGTATTTTCGGTCATTTTGAGTTTACCATGATTGCGGCCGTCGCTGGTGCTATTGGGCGCTATTATGGGTGTAACGGGTAACTTGGACGACGGCGAAACCGCTATTTCGCGGACAAAATCACGTTTTCGGACCGTGATTTGAAACAATAACCAGTGTATCAAAGCTTTATACGCTTATAAGGGGACCCGAGATACCGCGAGAAATAATGTCTGCTAACAAAGCTGGGGGAGATAAAGGTGGTTAAAAGAACCATCAAAGGCAGCATCCCATTTGGTTATGAAGTCAGCTGAAGAATTTGCTTCCCTCTTGATTAAAATAAAATCAACTAACCACGCTCTGCGACAGAGCTCGGTAACGGCGCGCACTAGAGTGTGAGGGCTTGAAGGATCGGCTGAAGTGAGGAGCTTGTGGACATCAGTATTGTCCATTTGAACAGTGATTTTCTCGAAGCCGTTAAACCAGGCAATTTCGAGTCCTTCGAAAATTCCCCAAAGTTCAGTTTGGAGTGCCGAAGAACGGCCAATCTTCTTGTTATACGCTAAAATGGAGTCTCCATTGTTGTCACGGAACATTATTAAGACGTTGGACGTAATATTATTAAGACGCGCCTGTTGAATACTGTTAAAATATAAATTAACTGATTCTATTATGATGCAGGGGATCCGAGACAGATGATGTTGAGCTGTCATATTGTACCTTGATGGCGCTGAGATATCATGAATTGGCAGATTAGCGCAAAGGCGGGAATTGATTGTGACATGTTTCTCATTGGGGTCGTTTTGAGTATGTTTCAGTCTTTTGGCCATAACTTTGGCTACAGGTGTCAGAATCGCGCATAAGACCACAATTCGGAAAGCTCTTTTCGACGCGCACGCTCTCCACACGAGCTACGCTCCATGTGGCCTTTTTTTCAACCTCAAATTCTGCCGTTTTCCCCTCCGAATCACTAGATTTAGATATTTTTTTTTATTTATGGTAATATTTCGATTGTCAATTAGGAAGTCAATTTAAATCCGATTTAGGCCGGATTTTTTGGAGATTGCTTATTTTATTTCGAATTTCAATGTAGAGTGATTTTCGGGATTTTGCTATTTTTGGCAAAATTCGAATAAAGACGATTTTTTGCTATAACAGTCTGACTTGTGGACTGATTTTGGGGATGGTTTTGATTTTATAATATTTTATTAAACCCTAGAGACTTTTTTTCTCTGGTTTTTTTGGGCGAATTTTCTCTTGTGAATCATCTGTTAGAGCGCTTGCAGGATAATCACTATTCTGTCTGGCGTCAGTTGGTGTCAGAGCTTCAACATCTTCCTGGAAATTTCACCAGTTTCAATGGCTGGAGGTCGTGGTCGTCGTGAGCAGGTTCCGAATGAGAAAGCCCAACGCCGTGATCGCAATGTTCAGGATGTGATGATTGCGGATTTACAGAGGCAAGTCGCAGAATTAACCCAGCGCCTGGCGGCGCAGGATTTTGAGGATCGTGAGGCCTCTGATCACGATACCAATTCCGCTTTTGAAAACCCATATCACAATCGTGCTCTATTCCGGGAGCACCGTGGTCGGGAGGAGCGTCATGGTGACCTCGGTTTTCGGGTCGATCTCCCTGAGTTTTCTGGTACGTTACAGGCCGAGGGATTCGTGAATTGGATTAATGAAGTGGAGCGTATTTTTGAATATAAGGAAGTCCCCGATCGTGTGAAAGTGAAACTGATCGCCATCAAACTCAAAGGCAGAACATCTGCGTGGTGGGAACAGTTGCGACGTTCACGAGAAAGACAGGGCAAAACCAAGATCACTGATTGCGAGAAGATGAAAAAGAAGATGAAGGGTCACTTCCTTCCCTTCGGCTACACGCAAACCTTGTTTCAGCGACTTCATACGTTGAGGCAGGGCGCACGATCAGTCGATGATTACACGGAGGAGTTTTACCAATTGGTCGCCCGAAACGATTTATCTGAGACGGAGGAGCAAATGGTGGCGCGGTATTTGGGGGGTTTACGCCAGCCCTTACAAGATGTCCTCAGCCTTCATTCACTGTGGAGTGTTTCGGAAGCTTACCAGCGTGCACTTGCTGTTGAAAAACAGCAAAATAGGAGACCAGTGATCAGGAACTATCACAACAGTCGACCAGTTCGTCCTCAGGATTCCCGTCCTGCTCAACAGCCACCGCAGGGTAATTCTAACCCTACTATTAGATGTTTTCGTTGTGGTGAACAAGGGCATAGGGCGACTGATTGCAGGAAGCTTGTTAGTCAAAAAGGCAAAAATTTGTTGATTGAGGAAAACGCGGAAGACGAGACTGAGGAGATTGGCGAACCCGTGTATGACGATGATGAGACTGATGATGTGCTGTATGGAGATGGTCATGAGACTCTGGTCGTTCGCAAGAGTCTACTTACTCCCAAGGGCGATTCAGGGGACGATTGGTTGAGAACCAATATTTTCCACACGACCTGCACAGTTGCAGATAAAGTCTGCAAAATGATCATTGACAGCGGCAGTTGTGAGAATGTAGTGTCCGAGGAGGTTGTCCAGAAATTGCAGTTGAAGACGGACCGTCATCCTAAGCCATACAAGCTGTCATGGCTAAATAAAGGCAGTGAGGTAACAGTTGATAGGCGATGCCTCGTGTCTTTTTCAATTGGTAGAAAATATTTTGATAATGCCTGGTGTGATGTTGTGTCTATGGATGCGTGTCATATATTGTTGGGTCGACCCTGACAGTATGATCGTAGTGTCATTCATGATGGACGGAAGAATACATATTCCCTTAGCATCAAGGGAAAAAGATTATGTTGGCACCCCGGCGGGAAGGACTCACTCCTACCCCAGTAACCCATAATACTACTCTGCTTTCTACGTCCAGGTTTTTAGATGAGATTTAGCATGGCGACGTGGTCTATGCCTTACTACCTTGCGAGAACAATGCAGTAGACGTGGATGCAGATTTACCAGTAGAAGTGCAGCGGCTGCTAGCAGAATTCTCTAACTTGATGCCAGAGGATCTTCCTCCTGGGCTACCACCTATGAGGGATATTCAACATCAAATTGACCTTGTTCCTGGGTCAAGTTTGCCAAATCATCCAGCATATCGCCTCAGTCCCAAGGAGGTTGAAGATTTGCAGCGACAGGTGGAAGAGTTGTTGGAAAGGGGCTATATCCGAGAGAGTATGAGCCCATGTGCAGTCCCTGCTCTGCTAGTTCCAAAGAAAGATGGTTCTTGGCGTATGTGTGTTGACAACCGAGCGATCAACAGAATTACAGTTAAGTACCGGTTTCCAATTCCACGTCTAGATGATATGTTGGATCAACTATATGGTTCTAAGGTCTTCTCAAAAATTGACCTTAAGAGCGGTTACCACCAAATCAGAATAAGACCTGGAGATGAGTGGAAGACGGTGTTTAAAACGCCACAAGGGTTGTATGAGTGGATGGTCATGCCTTTCGGGCTATCCAATGCGCCCAGTACGTTCATGAGATTTATGCATAAGGTCTTGCGACCTTTTATGGGGAAATTTTTTGTAGTTTACTTCGATGATATCCTCGTTTATAGTCTAACATGGACTTCACACTTCGATCACCTCCGTGCTGTTTTTGAGATGCTGAAAACGGAGTGCTTGTTTGTCAATCAAAAGAAGTGTTCTTTCTTCACTACTTCTGTGACTTTTCCTGGTTTTGTTGTGTCTACTGATGGTGTTCATGCAGATCAGTCAAAGGTAGATGCAGTCTTGGAGTGGCCCAGACCAAAGACCTTACATGACATCCGAAGATTTCATGGCTTGGCGTCTTTTTACCGTCGATTTATTAAAAATTTCAGTACTCTGATCGCCCTTATCACAGAGTGCCTCAAGGGGCGTGATTTCTAGTGGTATGAAGAGGCAGAGGCCAGTTTTCAACTGGTCAAGCAGAAGATGACCGAGGCTCCAGTTTTGGCACTTCCAGATTTTGACAAAGTGTTCGAGGTAAATTGTGATGCATCTGGCGTTGGCATTGGTGGTGTTTTGAGTCAGGCAGGTCGTCCGGTTGCTTTTTTCAGTGAAAAACTATCGGGATCAAAGAAAAATTATTCCACTTATGATCTGGAGTTCTATGCCATAGTTCAGTCCCTGAAGCATTGGCGTCACTACCTAGTACAGAAGAAGTTTATTCTGTTTACCGATCATGAGGCCTTGAAGTACATCAATGGCCAACACAAGCTGAGTAGACGTCATGCCAAGTGGGTGGCATACTTGCAAGAATTCAC